GAGAGAGAGAGAGAGAGAGATAGCGTGAGCAGGGGAGGGTCAGAGAGAGAGGGAGACACAGAATCCGAAGCAGCCTCCAGGCTCTGAGCTAGCTGTCAGCACAGAGCCCAACGTGGGGCTTGAACCCACAAACTGCGAGATCATGACCTGAGCTGAAGTCGGGCACTTAACCGAATGAGCCACCCAGGCGCCCCTATTATTTTTTATTTTAGAGAGTACGAGTGGGGGAGAGAGGTACAGAGATTGAGAGAGAGAGAGAAAATCTTAAGGAGGCTTCATGCTCAGCATGGAGATAGAGAATCTTAAGTAGGCTTCATGCTCAGCATGGATCCTGATGCTGGGCTCGATCCCATGACCCTGGGATCATGCCCTGAGCTGAAATCAAAAGTTGGATGCTCAAGCAATTGAGCCATCCAGGCACCCCCAGTATCTTTTTTTTTAAACTCCAAATAATGCTGCAGTGTATTTGTGTGTGTGTGTGAAAATATATCCATACCCACCAATTCCTAGCAGTAGAATTGCTGAGTCAAATGAAAATTTTTCAGACATTTACAAAGTGCTCTCCAGAGAGGTTATACGTGGTAGACAGAAGAACAGCTCCCAAAGATATCCCCGTCCTAATTCTTGGAACCTATGAATATGTTACCTTCCATGGCAAATGGGAATTAAGATGGAATTAAGGTTGCTAATCAAGATCTTAAGACAGGGAAGTTATCAGGGCTGGTGGGTGACTCAGTCCATTGAGCATCTGGCCCTTGATTTTGGCTCAGATCATGATCTCAAGGTTTGTGGAACTGCACCGGGCTCTGTGCTGACAGCGTGAAGCCTGCTTAGGATCCTCTCTCTCTCTCTCTCTCTCTCTCTCTCTCTCTCTCTCCCTCCCCCCCCAGCCCTTCCTCTGCATGCCCTATTTCTTTCTCTCAAAAATAAATAAATGAACATGAAAACAAAGATAGGGGAATTATCCTAGGTTATCTGGATGGGCCCAAAGTAACCACAAAGATCCCTAAAAGTGGAAGAGAGAACCAAAGAGATGGCAGCATGGAAGGAGTTAGCTCAAATTTGCTGGCGTTGAAGATGGAAGAAGGGAGCTAGGAGCCAAGCAATGCAGGTGACCCCAGAAGCTGGAAAAACAAGGAAATGAAAAAGACAAGGAATGCAGCCTGGCTTTTAGCTTTGCTTTTAGCCCTATGAGATCAGGGTTGGATTTCTGACCCACAAAACTATTAGTAACAAATAATAAATTTGTGGTTTTAAGCCATTAAATTTGTGGTAATTTGTTACAACAACTATAGAAAATTAATGCATAATATGTATTTATACTCCTACCAACATCCCTGAGGTTAGAGCCTTTTTTTAAACATATACAGTTCCCTTCTCCATATGAATACTCCTTTCTACATTATTTGAGGAATGTTTACGATTTAGTGTCCTGTAATTCATGTGTTTAGTTAAATGGAAAATTTGCAACCATAATTATCTGTTACACCTTTGTTCTTTGCTAATTAACTCTTTGGAAAATTCCCATTTGGGACATGTGCCAATTTTTTTTTTTTTTTTTTTTTTTTTTGGCAGCGGCCAGGATGTGAGCAGGATGTGCTGATGTGTCATTTCTGCAGTGCTGATATCACTACTGACCAGCCTGCAGCACAGAAACACTGTGGGGATAGAAGTGGTTCAGTGGGATTTGTTTTCTGTCACCAAGGTGGCAGTCTCGATGATGAACTACTCTGCAAGACGGGACAGAGGCACTATGCATGACAGAAACTTCCACATCTCCATGGTAGCTCAGGTGACCACAGTGGGGGAAATTAACAGAGTATAAATATTCCTCATCAATTCAGTTGATAAACCTCCACGACAGACTAGCAGAAGTAGCTAGCATAATAGAAGAGAGGAATCAATCTTTATTGAGAAACTGCAAAGAGCTAGCTACAAAGGGGGCACCGGGGTGGCTCAGTTGGTTATGACCTCTCGGTTCAACTTCGGCTCAGGTCGTGATCTCAGAGTTCTTGGGTTCGAGCCCCGCGTCGGGCTCTGTGCTGACAGCTCAGAGCCTGGCGCCTGCTTCGGATTCTGTGTCTCCCTCTCTCTCTGCCCCTCCCTTGCTCTCTCTCTCTCTCTTTGTATATCAAAAATAAAGACAAATTGTAAAAAAAAAAAAAAAGTGGTCATGATCTCAGAGTTCTTGGGTTCGAGCCCCGCGTCGGGCTCTGTGCTGACAGCTCGGAGCCTGGCGCCTGCTTCGGATTCTGTGTCTCCCTCTCTCTCTGCCCCTCCCTTGCTCTCTCTCTCTCTCTCTTTGTATATCAAAAATAAAGACAAATTGTAAAAAAAAAAAAAAGTGCCAGCTACAAAGTGCTAGTTAGTCTGCCCCAATGTGGTGTTGGTTCCCAAACTCGGAGCTTCCCTGGGTGAAATCTGAAAGTGGCTCCCAGATATGGAGGAGACTGAGGGAGGAGGCAGGCCACACAGGGTGAGTAGCTGGCAGTTTGAATAAGCCGGGGAACTCACACAGGAGGCTTGTCTTGGGCGGCCACCAGATGAGTAGATGTCTCACCCGCCCACCAGAAACTAGAAGTTTATTTAGAGGCTGGAACTGGGTTCAGACACATTTACCATCAGCATTTTGCTCTCTCAACGCCTGTGTTCTTGAAATAACTCCCGCTTGCGGGAATGGTGGGTAGAATGTACACTCCCAGGATGGTGGAGGGGGATGAGGAGCTTCCAGTTGCCCTGGTCCAGCCTGCGGGTCAGCCAGTGGTCCCTTCCTCTTGGTGACCTCCTCCAACAAGTGGGAACCCCCTCCCCCACATACCTTGAACTCAACAGACTGGCTGGACCAGCTCTGCAGTTAACATCTCTTTAGAGCTATTTACTGAGCATCTACTAAGCTAGGTATTTAGAATACAAACCCTTAGCCAGGCAAAGTGCACAGTTTATGGAGGTAAATAACAATCACAGGAACAAATGTGAAACTGCTATTGTGGCAGCTGCTACAAAGAGGAGATAAATAAATATAAATATAAGTATAAATATAAATATATAGTAGTGAGATTCCTCGTCAGAAGGCCTGGGTGAGATATGTAAATCTGCATACATGTGTTTACCCATATGTATATTGTATGTCACCCCAGGTAAAGGGCATAGATTATGTAAAGGACCTGGAAACATTGCATAGCCAGGCAGAGGAAGATGAACAGAGAGAAAGAATGGCCAGAGAGTTGAAGGGAAACCAGAAAAGGGCTGTATTCTAGGAGCCAAGCAAGCAGACTCCAATTAAGACCAGTAAGAACACAGGAGAGGACAGTGTGTCTGTCGAGATCAACAGGATTTCTATGCCACAGGGGCAGTGACGTGGCAGGGCACACCTGGATTCAAGGGTGGCTGTTTCCCTTTTGCTGTGTGACCTTGGGGGAAAAGCTGTTTGGCCTCAGATCCTGCATCTGTACAAGAATTACCTTCCTCCAAGAGTTAATGTGGAGATAAAATGAATGAGCATATGCAATGTGCCTAGCGCTTTGCAGATTCTCAGTAAAGATTGATTCCTCCCTGCCATTGTGTCTCTGTCCCCTCATTTATTCATCTATTTATTTCATCTCACTTATCCATCTTATTTATTCATCTGTTTTGGTTGTTGCTCTCCTTGATGACTTAGCATTAGTGGTGGTGACTTACCTGTGACGGGTCAACATAGTTCGTGTTCCTGAGTTGGCACAGGCTCTAGCCTGGGTGCCGGCTCACTGTCCTGAGCCAACAAATCAGTTCTCTGGATGTTGCAGGGACCCAAGCACACGCGGCGTGTTTCCTGGCATGCAGACAGAGGTCAACAAGGACTGGATAAGGGCGTAACATACCCTCCTTCATCCTACGGAGTCTCTGTTTCTGGGAAAGGAACTCCAGTTACCAAAGCGAATGCCTATCTCTGGTCTCAGGACACTCATGCGCACTTGCATTTCTGCAACGGCATACGTCTCCAAAAGTTTAGTAATAAATGACTCATCACAATTGAAGATTTCTTTCCAGGGACAGCATTGGCCAGAAGCAGCCACTCCCTCCTCCTTTCCTTTGTTTTTGTCTATGAAATACAGTGACTGGACAGAAATGCAATTTCCCCTACTGGTGCTTAACCTCTGCCCTGCCTGCCCACTCGGATGGTTTCTAAGGTGCGGCCCTCTCCCACTGGGAGAGCATGTAATTCCCTGCGTGCCTCAGGTGAAGTAAACGCCGGAAAAGAGAGACTGACAAATAATTCTATTGCGGCTAACATGGGTAACCAAAGGTTTAAACCTCTTTGGGAATTATCCTTGTATTTCTAATAAGCACACGTGTTAATTTCTTATTATTGAAGGGGGCCATGTTTTCCAAACCAAACGTAAGGACATAACATTTCATAAGCAAGGGAGCACCTTTCGGGACAGGCTACTCTATGGATTGAACTGTTAATGAAATTCTGGGGCTTGAGAGTCATAGAGCTACTAAAAATGGGTAGCACTTAAATGATCAGAGAGCTAATGCTCATATTCCCCTTTCAGAATGGACTCTGAACATTTTTAACACAGCGATGGGGACATAAAGGGAGGTGATGGAAAAGGTCGGGGGAAAGGAACCTGCGGCTCTTTCGGCGGCTCCAGACCCAGCCGCCGAGCCTGCACCGACGGGGTCTCGGGGTCTCGGGGTCTCGGGGTCTCGGGGTCTCGGGGTCTCGCTCCCGCCAGCGCCCAGCCCGGGAAGCCCGGGAAGCCCGCCTCGGGCGCGCGCCGCCTTCCGACCCGGCCGCGGGGGCGCGCACGCATGCGCAGAGCCTCCGCACGCGTTCCCGTGGAAGGTTGCGCGTCGGAGCGTTCATGGCAACGCGACGCGTCCGCCTTCTGGAAGCTCTGGCTCCGGCTCGCGCAGTGTGAGACCCATCCCGGTGGGAGGGACCTGGGCTGGGGCGGAGGCGGGGGGACGGATGGGGGGGGACCCAGGGGATAAAGGGCCTGGGGAAGCTGCTGGGAACGTTTGCCCTCGGGATTGAGCTAAAGTAAGAAAAATCTGTCCAAGGCTCAGCACAAAAGGATCTTTTCATTCCAGTGCTTTTCGCCCACGCAGGGGACCATGCCTCTGGAGGTGGTGGTGGAACTCCAGATCCGGGCGGTAAGAGAAGTCGACCGACCTCCACTCGTGCCCCAGATTCCAGTCTCTGCCCAGGGTTCCGAAATGGTCCTGATCATTTTCACCACCTCTACCCACCTCACCACCACACACATCATTGTCTTTTGGGCCAGATCGTACCTCTCTGTCCTTAAGATCCTCTACATTGGTCTTCCCTGACTTCTTAAGTTTTAATTCAGCCCAGCCCCTTCCAACTCCACCCCCCCCCCCCCCCCCCCCCCCCCCCCCCCCCCCCCCCGCCAAGGACTTAGCTTTAGCCTAAAATTTTCTGTTACTTTAACGGGGACGCCTGGGTGGCTCAGTTGGTTGAATGTTTGACTCTTGGCTTTTCACTGAGGTCATGATCCCAGGGTCATAGGATGGAGTCCCCTGTAGTCTCTGTGCTTGGCGAGGAGACTGCTTAAGATTCTCTTTCTCCCTCTGCCCCTCTCCCCTACCTGCGTGCGCTCTCTAAAATTAAAATAATAATAATAACCTTGCATTAAGTCCAAGAAGAATTTTATTTTTTTTCCAGGATAAAGATTTGTGAAAGAATTAAAAACAAAACACCTTCCTTTAAATAAGAAGGGAAGAGTTTAATTTCATAAAGCCCAATGACTTCCTGATAATTTGCCACCTCTATGAACCAACTGAATAAATTCTAAGGTATCTCCCCTAGAGATGGCTCTAGCTTGCTAATTCCAAAAGGGAAGTCAATCAACCAACACTTGTTTTATAATTGTCCACTGAATCCTACTTAAGTGAGGTGCTGTGGCAGAGTGACTGCATTGTTCCTGTTTGAGATCAGGCATTTCTTTTAATTCAGCTTGTATTTTCCAATCCTTCCATCTGAAGTTGGTGACAGACCGTCAGGCAGCTTTGCCTGTCAGTTGTAAGGGCGTCTCCGCTGGCCGTGATTTACAAACACAGTGCAGTCAGGTTATGGCCATGGAAGATCTGTCAGCCTCCATACAAGTGGCAGGTGCTACAGTTTCATCATACTGCAGATCCAGAAGAAAAAAATTTCCTGGATTTGTCCCATTTTGCTAAGAGCAAATAGGACCAGACTCTTATCAACTGTGCTACAGCAAGTGCCAACTCTCAAAACTTTGCAGTAAGAGGAAGGAATTCTTGAGGAGCTAAGTGATAAATCAGCCTTCCTGCTCATCAAGGCAAAAATGAAGCAAGTTTCCATCTCGCTTCATTCAAACATTACTGGTTAATTTTATTTTAATTTTTAAAAAGCATTCCTCAGTGTATGATTACAGTAAAATCAGTTTTCTACTCTACAGTACTTAGAGTGCTTCAAGGAACGTCAGTTGAATTGATCTGTGCTTTAAAAGCCTGCAGAGTCTGGTCCGAACAAGTGAAATGTGGAATTCCAGAAGTATAACCAGGGAGCAGAAGATAAGCCTAGCTTTGAGCCCTCAATATTGAGACTTAAGAACACTGCAAAAGGCAATAAATGTCATTGCTTCTAAAAATAGCTGGCCTGAATATTGTTGGATTGAAACAAAGACCTCTCTAAGATTAAACAATAAAGCAAACCACTTAGAGCTTTACAGTTGGGCTGATTCAGTGAGAGAAGAGGTAGTCCGTGTTCAGGATGTTGTGGGGATGCAAAGGACTTTATTTTACTCTGAGGAGTTCCTCTTTAAGTGTGCCTCTCACACTCAGAAAGTTCACACTTCCACCCAATCAGAGCCTGTGCCTGGTATAGCAGGGGGCTCCCCTGATGAGTTTCAAGTCAAATACTGTTACCTAAAGTGTGCTGTACACGGGGAAATGGAATTCCATATGAAAAACTATACTATACAGGGTCATCCTTGTGGTACATATGAGAAAGTTTATGCCCTTGCACTGCAAAGAATCGAGTTATTTTCCTATTTTGTTACCTTAGTACAGAAGCATCATTCTTTATCAGTAGAGGTAATGGGCAGAACAGTCCCATTTCCGGCCAGAGTGGCCCACTGACATATACATGGTAAGCCCATGCCCAGACTCTCAGCTGCTGACGTCCTCAATGAGTTCTTCTGCCCTGTCTCATGCCATGCTATTTGTTGTCAACAGAGTTAAGCATTTGGTCACAGTCCCATCTTTTTCCATGGGCACTGTAGATATGCCCATATCTACATTAAGTGCTGCTTCTTCAAGTAAGTTCTTGGCTTGTTCTCTGAATGCAAAAAGGTACTGTTAGAGAGTACTGGGAAATAAACACCTATTTAAAGATTTTTTGAGAACGTAGAGGGAAAGGAAAGAACGATATATACTGTAATCTCTCTTCTCGCTCCCCAATCCACAAAGATGGAAGAGACGATCAACTAAAAAAGCTTATCAAGAAAATCAGGATTAAGAAGATACTGTGGCAACAGATTTTCAGGGATTCAGTAAGAAAAACTTATGTCTTAGACTCTTAAAATGCTGTCTAAAATCTACCTCAGGAGAAGAACTAGGCTTAGTAGGTGGCTCATCTGCATGTACATTTACAGAATGAAGACCATGTTTTGCTTTTTTTCCACGAAGTTCACTTTACAGGTGATACGTTGAGTTACAGGATAACTACAAAACACAGAATTTACTGATGTCAACTTTTAAAAACAGCAATATTATAATCACCCCAGCTTGTTTTCTTTGCAGTTGTCCTGGAGATATAAATCATTGTTGAATAAATATATAATAGAGAGGTGTTTTTTTTTTTTTTTTTTGCCTTTTTTTCGGCTGTTATATGGCTGTGGTCCTGATGGCCAGCACGTTCTCTGGCCTAGCAAGCCGTCAAGATGGTATGACACCTGAAATCTCAGAAGAAGCCTGAAATGTCCTTAAAGGGGAGAGCAGGAGTAGCTGCTGGTTTTTGTCACATGGTCACACGTGGAAACCTTCCATCTCCTGGTGCCCTGATGAATGAGCCGGTGTCATTGCTGGTTCCACAGCAGGAAGAGGACCGGGGCAGTGTGCGGCGAAAGCCAGCAATAGTCCACGATGCTGTACTGCGTGTAGCCCAGAAAAAAGCCAAAAGCCACGTCGGTGACATTGTGCCGCCCCAGCATGACCCTGGAGAGGCCCAAGATGAAAGCCCACAGTACCACCAGCACCCTCAGCGGGATGGCCAGCACCAAGTGGTTCAGGATGAACCGGGACACCAGGGCGGCCCTGGTGGCATGGCCCGAGGGGAAGGAGTACTTGTCCACCGAGAGGGTGACAAACATGTCCATCTGGTTGTGGGCCGGGCGGCGCCTGCGCACCAGCCCCTTGATCAGGGTCACCAGCAGCAGGTCCAACAGCAGGGCGAAGAGCAGGTTCATGAGCACCTCGCGCCCGGCCCAGCTGTCGCTCCTGGAGAGGCAGTAGAGGGTGCCCAGCAGCCAGAGGATGCCGTGGCCCGAGATCTCCAGCAGCTTCATCAGGGGCCGCATGCTGCCCCAGGACGAGCTCTCCCCGGCGCACACCCCCAGCTTCTTGGACAGCCACAGGTCGATGGCCAGCAGGGAGCGCAGGGCGATGCCCAGGAACGACGGGTTCAGGTCCATGCGGTCGTCGTCGGGCAGCGCGGCCGGGGGCGCCTGCGGGGGGCCCGCCCCGGCCAGCGGGAAGGAGCCGCGGCGGTGCACCGGGCTCTCGGGCGCGCGGAGCCGGCCGCAGGCGGGGTCCAAGCCCGGCGCGCGGCTGCTGAGCAGCGACTGGAACTCGAACCTGCCGCCGCCGCCGCGGGCCGGGCTGCCGGGGCTGCTGCTGCTCGAGGCGGGGGCGGCCAGCGGGCGTCCGTCCGCGTTCCTGCGGGGGCTCGGCATCGCGGCGGGGGGCCCGGACCCCGGCGCCCGACCGGCCTAGCGCGCGGCTCGCGGCCCTGCAGCCTCTTCCGCTTCCGCACGGCCATCCCCGGGGGGCGGGGCGAGGGGCGGGGCAAGGGGCGGGGCGCGGGGCCGGCGGGAGGACGGTTGTGACACCTGGCCGGACGTGGGAGGAAGCCGGAAGTTGCACTTGGGGAAGGAGGCCGCGGGCGAGGAAGGTGCAGGTGTGTGACAGGTGACGGGGCGGGAACCAGCGCTCCCGTTCAAACACGAAACAAAACAAACCCTGTTCTCTACTCCCTTTTCTTTCTTTTTAAGATTTCTTGTCCAGGGGTGTTCCTTCCCGACAAGCAAGATGTGTACCTTGGGGTGTACCTCCTGAATCAGTACCTGGAGACTGACTGCTTTCCTTCGCTGTTCCCTATTGTGATTCAGCAGAGCATGAGGTTTGAAAAGGTGATCTTGACTTTCTCGCGGCGAAACGGAGAAATTTAAATGTTGCCGTCTGATGAAGAGCACGGTTCTTATTAAGTTATTTTGTACATTTTCTTTTAAAAACTGGGGCGCCTGAGTGGCTTAGTCGGTTAAGCATCCGACTTCGGCTCAGGTCACGATCTCACAGTTCGTGGGTTCGAGCCCCGCGTCGGGCTCTGTGCTGACTGCCAGCTCAGAGCCTGGAGCCTGTTTCAGTCTGTGACTCCCTCTCTCTCTGACCCTCCCCTGCTCACGCTGTCTCTCTCTCTCCCAGAAATAAATAAAAAAAATAAAAACAAAATAAAAAGGACTTGAAGCCGCCTCAGCACAGTGCGACACCATAGTTGGAGGACTAGCTTTTGCAGTGCAGGTCTGAGCCAAGTGCTGTCAACCTAGCGCTCAATACCCTGGTGGATGTTTTCTATTCTTGGAACTCCCGTGGCATTTTTCTAACTGGAGCAGAGCACATTTTCTGAATGTTCTTGGAGGTGTTAGAGGCAGTTGCATTACATTTATGACAGGGATTATCAGTAAGTTACTAGACCTTGGAAACAAACTTTGGTAGACTTGGAGAAATAATGAAAAAACTAGATTCCAATTAGTAAAACCTGTGCCTGAAGTCCTGTAACAAAACAAGCCTGTGAGTATTCTTAGGTCATACCTGGTTTATTTAGCTACAGTGATAAAGGCTAGGTTTCATTCCAATGAATATGAACATGATATTAATAGAACATTTATCAACCTGCTTCCCACTTCAGTTTAGAATATTAAGTTCATTACTATGAATCATTGGCTGTCCTTTGGAAGTTTTTGTTTTGGAATTTGGAGGTGAAATCAGTTTTAACCTTGACGAATCTAATGATTTCCCCTCAAAACAATATCACTGAGCTGCTTCTTTGAGAGACAGGATAAATATGGGTAGGCTCCAGGCTAGAGCCCATCCCTTGTAAAGGTCTGGATTATGCTGCCCAGAAAATGACCTGTTTCCATCTGAGAATGGGAGACGAGATGAGGATTGATTTTCCAAAAGGCTAGGGCTGTAGATAATATTTTTGTAAATTACGGCTTGTTTATTTAGATAGAGTCTACCAAACTGGTTAAATAAGATAAGAGAGGAATAAATGGCTATTACCTTGGAACGTATAGTCAGGATCGGAAGGAACCTACTTCTACTAGATATTAGTAGTGGTAGGAAGTGGATGGTGAAAATCCAGTCTATTCTTTCCCCTAAGAATTTCCTTTTTAGTTTATCAAGTTTGCTTCTCTAGAAGACTTTAAAAATCTTTTTATAAGAAGCCCAAGGATACAAAATCAGAGAAGCACAGAATGATAATTCTGTAAATGAACTTGGAGGTCATCGAGTCCAACATCCCTGACATGTAGAAAAGGAAGATGAGCTTCAGACACACCAGACTCTAGATGCCCTCCCCACCCTTCCCCCACCCCCGTTGCAAAGCAGTACCTTGGAGAGTGCTGGTCAAGCATGTATCATGGACCATGTTTCTTTCTGTAACATGTGGTTATTTAAAAATCTGAACCCTCGTGTGTGAGCTGTTTGGGTTCAGAATATTCCAGCTTTCTTGCATTTGTTCCCTTGTCTGGCTGCAAACGTGTGCAGCAGGTGGAAGAAACATTTTCTCGTCTTTGGACCTTCTGTGTAACCCAGAATTGAATGCTCCAAAACATTTGGATAAATAAACTACTCATAAGGAATGTATGAGACATTGTGTTTGAACAGTTTACGTTGATCATTTACTTCCCATGGTCATACTTGAGAAAATCCTTAGACATAGATGAAGTGAAGGGATGCCATTATTGAAATAGTTTTGGGGGAAAAAAACCCTCACCCACATTTGCTTGATACATCTAGGTCAGGAAGGCAAAAATGGATTATAGGGGATAGCCTCCACTTTTGTAGTTAAAAGCAGACCTGGCTTTGAATCCAGAGCAGATTTTAACCTGGCTTATGTTTAAATACCATTTGAATCAGAACAGTAGTGCCTGAAACCAAACTCTGCTTAAAACTTTTGTTTCGTGCAGGCTTCCAGAGTTTAGGGAGAGGGGCGTGGGATGCTTTTAATTTCAGTCCTGTCCCAGACATTTAGCTCAAGGACAAGATAAGCAGATTTGGCATTGGCTCGACAGATATCACAACGTTTGTCTTGTGCTTTATGATATACTTTAAACTTATGAGGCTCTCCCTCTCTCTTGTTATTTTGGATTCTGTAGGAGTGTACTGCTAGTGCATAGGTTTCCTTTTGTGTTACACATAGATAGAATTTGTACTTAGATTCCTGTTTATCACAACCAATTGCTAGAGTCGTTTATTCAGTTAACATCACTTAATGAGTGTCCATGGTATGCAGAATGTTTTTCTAGATACTTAAGCAAGACTCTTTGAGGTTGATGCCAGATGTGCTTTTAGCAATAAACTGTAAGGCTAGGTCAAGTTGATGACATTTTGAGCATGTGGTAGAGTCAGCTAACTCACATTTTCCTTGTACTTGGTATTGTGTTTATTCTCATTCTGTAGTCATTTGTTGAACTTTTTTTTTTAAATTTTTTTAATGTTTTATTTATTTCTAGGAGAGAGAGAGAGACAGCGTGAGCAGGGGAGGGTCAGAGAGAGAGGGAGTCACAGACTGAAACAGGCTCCAGGCTCTGAGCCGGCAGTCAGCACAGAGGCCGACGCGGGGCTCGAACCCATGAACCGCGAGATCATGACCTAAGCGAAAGTCGGACGCTTAACCGACTAAGCCACCCAGGCGCCCCGTCATTTGTTGAACTTTTAACCACATACTCGTTAAAGATACTCCTGTTGAATTTTAACATACTGTATGGCTGGAATTGACATGTGTTAATTGTTTGGGAAAATATAATCTACAGTTCCTATAAGCATATATTAATCTTTGAAAATTTATTTTCACCATTTTTCCCCCTGCAGGTATTTGAAAATGCAATAGATCCTGGGGCTGTAGCAGAAATTTTAGAAAGTAGGTACTCTTAAAACAAAACAAAAAACCATCAGGTGCTTGTAATTGTGTGTGTGCAGATAGAAAACTCTGTATTCTAAGTTGTGACATTTCCATTTTGATTCATATTCATATCCAAGAGAGTCTATATCAAATATGAATCATGTTTTTGATTCTGTTACAAACCCTTGTCTAGATAGAGATAGGATTTAGTGGATGGTACACTTGTTTGTTTATATATTTCAATGTAATGGTTTTTGTATCTTCATACAGTTATGTAACCACCATAATTTTTAAAATAATTAACTAATTAATTAATTTCTAAATTTACATCCAAGTAGTTAGCATATAGTACAACAATGATTTCAGGAGTAGATTCCTTAATGCCCCTCACCCATTCAGCCCATCCCCCCTCCCACAACCCCTCCAGCAACCCTGTTTTGTTCTCTAAATTTAAGAGTCTTTTATGTTTTGTCCCTCTCCCTGTTTTTATATTAATTTTGTTTCCCTTCTCTTATGTTCAGCTGTTTTGTACCTTAAATTCCTCATATGGATGAAGTCATATAATATTTGTGTTTCTCTGACTAATTTCACTTAGCATAACACCCTCTAGTTCCATCCACGTAGTTGCAAATGGCAAGATTTCATTCTTTTTGATTGCCGAGTAATATTCCATTGTATATATGTACCACATCTCCTTTATCCTCTCATCTATTGATGGAAGTTTGGGCTCTTTCCATACTTTGGCTATTGTCATTAGCGCTGCTATAACCATTGGGGTGCATGTGCCCCTTCAAAACAGCACACCTTTATCCCTTGGGTAAATACCTGGTAGTGCAGTTGCTGGGTCATAGGGTAGCTCTAGTTTTGACTTTTTGAGGAACCTCCATACCGTTTTCCAGAGTGGCTGCACCAGTTTGCAAACATCACCATAATTAATGTTAGGATATTTTTATCAACATAGAAAGAAACCTTAAACCCATGCTTCCTTATCACTCCCAGCCCTAGACAACTACTAACCAATATTTCTGTCTCTATAGATTTGCTTATGCTGGATATTTCATATAAGTGGAATTATATAATATGTGGTCCTTTGTGACTGGCTTCTTTCACTTAGCATGTTTTCAAGATTCATCTTTGCTATAGCATGTGTCAGTACTTCATTTCTTTTTGTGGCCAAGTAGTGTTCCATGGTATGGCATGCCACATTTTGTTTATTCATTTGAGTTGTCTTCATGTTTGGGTTATGACAAATGATGTTGATGTGAATCCTTGTGTACAAGTTTTTGTGTGTGTGTTTGTGTGGACATGTGTTTCCATTTCTCTTGTGTCTATACCTTGGAGTGGAAGTACTGGGTCGTCTGGTAATTCTTTTTAATCTTTGGAGAAACTTGACCGAAGCAACTGTGTCATTTTACATCCCACCAGCAATGTTTGAGGGATCCATTTCTCTACATCCTGGTCAACGCTTATTACCTGTCCTTATGATTGGTGGCCTTTCTTGTGGGCATGAGTGAAATCTCATTGTGGTTTTGATGATGTTGAGCATTTTTTTCATGTGCTTATTTTTCATGTGCTTATACTATTTGTATATGTTATTTGGAGAAATGTGTATTCAGAGCTTTTGCTTATATTTTAATTGGATTATTTGGCTTTTTACTATTGAGTTGTAATATATTACAAAATTGTAATGTATTGAGTTCTTTGTGTATTGTAGATACAAATCCCATTCTTTCTTCCATTATCTTTTCATTTTCTTGACGGTGTTCTTTGAAACACAAACATTTTTAATTTTGATGAATTCTGTTTTATCTGTTTTCCTTTTGTTACTTGAGCTTTTGATGTTTTATAGTTTTAGCTTTCATATTTAGTCCTATCACACATATTAAGTTGACTTTTGTAAATAGCATGAGGTAGGGGTCCAGCTTCATTCTTTTGCATCTGGGTATCCAGCTGTCCTGGTCTCATTTGTGGATAAGAGTATCTTCCCCCAATTGAATAGTCTTGACACGTTTGTTGAAGATCAATTGACTCTAAATATGCGGGGTGTTTTTGGACTCTCTATTCTATTCTGTGGATCCGGTAACATACAATCTTGAGTACTGTAACTTTGTAAGTAAGTTTTGAAATCAGGAAATGTGAGTCCTCCACCTTATATCTTCTTTCCAAGGCAGTTTTTGCTATCTGGATTTTCCTGGTTTCCGTATGAATTTTAGGATCAGCCTGTCAGTTTCTGCAAAGGAGCCAGCTAGGATGATGATAGGGGTTGCACTGAACCTGTAGATCAATTTGAGGAATGGTTCCTTCTGAACAATATTAAGTCTTCCAATCCATGAACATGGGATATAGTGAGAACTCACTGAACGTAAGGAATTTAGAGCCTGAGACAAATGAAGGACTTAACATTACTATTGTCCTACTTGGAAAACCTAAAATTACAAACTGTCTTACCTGTCAGTTTCTTGGCATTTAAAATTCAGTCCTCATGCACTCACATGCTTTTCATAAGTCTCCAAAGGGAGAATTTTACTTTTCTTGTAGATAGACTTCCAGCTTTTTTGAGACATAATTCACGTATCACATTATGTCAGTGTAAGGTATGTAACATGTGGATTAGATATACTTAGGTATTGCAGAATCAGTACCACAGCATTAGCTAACACACTCATCACATCACGTAACTACCATTTGTTTTCTTGTGGTGAGAACATTAAAGGCCTACTCTCAGCAACTTTCAAGTATATAATATAGATTAGTACCTATCATTGTCTATAATTGCCATCATTATTGTCTATTTTTAAATGTCTTCACTTCTATAATTTGGGGGAATTATCTTTATTGATTTTTTTATTGTTATACCATTTAAGTTACTTTAATATTTGAATTTTATTCTTGTCCTTATAGATTTTGTACATGGATTCACTATTAATATGCTTTGGGCTCAGGGAGTATAAAAAGTGTTATATTTTATGTTTCATTTATATTGTTAGAGAGCATACTGTTTTAAGCATGATAAACTTGTATAGGTTAATGGACAAGAGTTGGATTTTGAATGTTTTAAATGAGAAGTTGATTTTTATGGCAGTGATTTATGAATACATTTTTAAGAGAGAAAATATTACATCCCTGTCATCAATACATTTCAGGGCACAAAATGTTATTTTTATAACTTAGTTACTCTCACTCTATGCCTTGGATTACTGGTTCTAGAAATACCTGAATCTTTGTTGGTATGGCATTATTATTATTATTATTATTATTGTAAATGGGATGTTATAGCAGCTTTAAACTTAGCAATTATGAAAAACTCTGGCAATTTTCTAAAGTATTAAAATCTCATTTTTTCTATTTTAGGTTTCCTAACCAGGTTTGAATTGATACAGCTAGTATCTCCAGGTAATGTGCCAGTAAATGTGTTTCTAAATCAGCTCGTTTTAATTTTGAAGGGATTTTGGCACGACAGAATGGGGACTGGTGTTTACAAGTCGTGCTTTCTAGAACACTCACTTCTCCCCCAGCCCCTACCTGTCTGTTGAATTTTGTCCATTCTCAGAGAAGTAACTTTACGGGTCTGGTGGCAGTAAGCATAACTTAAAGGTGCTTTGGCTTTCCATTTTTTAATAACTTTAATCATCATCAAATAAGAAAAGCATGGCTCAGTTTCTTTCAAGTTTTTGCCTTTGACTTTGTTGGCGAACCCGAAACTATCTTCTGTGTTAGACGCTAGAACAGGGCTTGCAAACTGGAGGTTCCAGGCCAAATCCAGCGCACGGGTTGTTTTGTGCGACTCGTGAACTAAATTTCTATATTTTCACACATTGAGATTCATATACTGTATATTTAATTCATGTACGCTAAACCTCACTATTGTCAAGTGTACAACTCAGTTGATTTAGTGTCTTCACAAAGTCTGCAACCATCACCACTGTCTTCTTCCAGAATATTTTTATTATCTCAAAGAAACCCCCATTGTAGTCATTAATAGTCACTCTTCATTCCCTCTTCCCACAGCCCTGGCCACCACTAGTCTATTTTCTCTCTGGCTTTGCCTATTCTGGAAATTTAGCATAAATGGAATCAAACGATATGTGGCCTTTGGTGTCTGGCTTCTTCCACTGTGTGTGTTTTCAAGATCCACCCACCTTGTAGCCTGTCAGCATTACTTCGTTTCTTGTTTTGGGTGCGTCATGTGCTTTTATATGGACACGTCAAAGTTTGTTTATCCATTTGTTGGTTGATGGGTTGTTTCCACTTTTTGAATATTATGAATAACACTGCTGTCATCATTCACGTACAAGTTGTTGTGTGAGTATGTGTTTTCAGGATTTATACCTAGGAGCAGAGTATCTGTGTCATACGGCACCTCTGTGTTTAACTTTTTAAGGAACTGCCAAACTGTCTTTGGTTCTTGGAGGTTTGAAGAGTTGGAAAAAAAGTTTTTAAATATGAGTGTTTAGTGATGTGAAATTTATGTAAAATTCACATTTCATTGGCCATGCTCATTTATTTCAATGTTGTCTGTGGCTGCCTTTGTTTATGCTGGAGTTGAGAGTATTTATGACCATGCGGTCTGCAAAGTCTAAAAATATTTACTATCTGACCCTTTTATGGAAACAGTTCTTGCCAGAATCATGAGACTTTAGGAGGAAGCCACTCTGTGGGGCCTTTGCCTCCTGTGTGTCTTGAATGGCAGGACGCCTGACCTGAGCTTATACATCGTGGCATCACTTCTCATACCTAGTTTCTCAGTGTGGCTGGTTACCTGGTGATTTTAGTCGTGTGTGTGTGTGTGTGTGTGAGAGAGAGAGGGAGAGAGAGAGAGACAGACAGACAGACAGTTCTTGCCAGCAAAGATCCAAAAAGAATTAGAGACAGACAGAGAGACAGACAGAGAGAGAGAGAATGAGAGAATATTTAAAACTTAGGAGGCACCTGGGTGGCTCAGTTGGTTAAGTGTCCGACTTTGGCTCAGGTCATGATTCACAGCTCATGAGTTCGAGCTCTGTGTCTGGCTCTGTGCTGACAGCTCGGAGCCTGGAACCATCTTCGAATTCGGTGTCTCCCTCTCTCTGCACCCCTCCCTCCCTCGCTTGCTCTCTCTCTCAAAAATAAATAAACATTAAAACTCAGGAACATTTCTAATTCTTTTCTGATCTACTGTTTTTTGCCTTTTCTTTTCCAAAAATGAAAATAGCTTTATGGTTTGACTTGTTGCAAAAAGCATTCCAAAATGATGAGAAAACCTCTATTTATAATTCAGTGAACATGTTTCTTGATATTTGTCTCTGGACAGAAGAGCACCTAGATATGGAATTTCTATGTAATAGTGTCACATACATTTTCTTCTCTTATTGGCTTCCCTCTATCACACATCAGTGTTGTATTGTCATTTCTTTCTTTTTTTTTTATTTTTTATTTTTATTTATTTCTAGGAGAGAGAGAGAGACAGCGTGAGCAGGGGAGGGTCAGAGAGAGAGGGAGTCACAGACTGAAACAGGCTCCAGGCTCTGAGCTGGCAGTCAGCACAGAGCCCGACGCGGGGCTCGAACCCACGAACCGTGAGATCATGACCTAAGCGAAAGTCGGACACTTAACCAACTAAGCCACCCAGGCGCCCCTGTATTGTCATTTCTAAAAGCATAGATGTACATCATTATTTTTAATGGTATTAAAGAATCCATTAATTTACTTATGTGTCCTTAGAAGTCTCTAAGCAGTAGGGACATAGTATTTGGGGTTTTGCTTTTTACCTGTGTATTGTTGTTAGGGTTAGGGTTAAGGTTAGCTATGTGTTTTTCCAGAATGTTCTAATTATCTTTCAAATGATATTGTTGAACATGTAGGTTTTCCTTGTCTTTCCTATATTTATAAAAATTATTTTTTCTAGGGCTTCCTGGGTGGCTTAGTCGGTTAAGCATCTGACTTCAGCTCAGGTCGTGATCTCATGGTTTGTGAGTTTGAGCTCCACATCGGGCTCTGTGCTATCAGCGCAGAGCCTGCTTTGGATCCTCAGTCCCCCTCTCTTTCTGTCCCTCCCCTGATTGTACTCATTCTCTCTCAAAAATAAAAAACAATAATTTTTTTCTCTTGGTACATATGTAAAGAATAGAAGGACAGTAGTCCCCTCTCACCCGCGGTTTTGCTTCTTGTGGTTTCGGTCACCTACCACGGCCGTTGTCTGGAAGCAGTCAGAGTGTCAGCAGCAGCCCAGCCCTGAGTCCTGACTGCTCCGCCGTTCACCTCGCTCCATCTCATTACGGAGGCATTTTTTCAAATCCAAATCACATTATCACAAGAAGGATAAGTACAGGACAGCAAGATATTTTGCAAGACAGGCGCCCGGGGGGCTCAGCCAGTTAAGTGTCTGACTTCAGCTCAGGTCATGATCTCACGGTTTGTGAGTTCGAGCCCCGCTGTCAGCACACAGCCCACTTTGGATCCTCTGTCTTCCTCACTCTCTGTCTCTCCCTTCTGTGCTCTCTTTCTCTCAAATAAATAAACATTAAAAAAAAGATATTTTGTGAGAGATCGTATTCACATAACTTTTATCACCGTGTGTTGTTATGATTATTCTATTTTATCATTGGCTATTGTTGTGAATCTCTAACTACACCTAATTTATTAAAAAAAAATTTTTTTTTTTAAATTTTTTTTAATGTTATTTATTTTTGAGAGACAGAGAGAGAGAGCAGGGAAGGGGCAGAGAGAGAGAGAGGGAGACACAGAATCCAAAGCCGGCTCCAGGCTCTGAGCTGTCAGCACAGAGCCCGATGTGGGACTCGAGCCCATGAACTGCAAGATCATGACCTGAGCCAAAGTCGGATGCTTAACCCACTGAGCCACCCAAGTGCCCCCAACTATGCCTAGTTTATACATTAAACTTTATCATAGGTATGTATGTATAGGGAAAAACACAGTGTATGTAGGATTCAATACTATCTGCTGCGGGGGCCTCGGCACGTAATTCCCCATGGATAAGCGAAGACTCGACTAAACCATCCATCCACATCTGTAACCTGGTAGTAAACTGATCGCCACCAAACTTTTGTAATTCCTGAATTCAGCAGTGTGTATGGGATGCCCACCGCCCGTCTCCTAGCTAATGCTGGATATTATCGTTTGAATTAACTGTGTTTGCAAAGTATATAATAATTTCTTTAAAGTAAAGAATATTTTCTGGCCCCTTCTTTTGTGTAGATGTTATTTGTGACAACCTCAGATTTAAAATTTACTTCTTAAAAAATTTCCATTTTCTCATGATTTGTTTTTTTTCTTCTCCTCTGTATAACATGACTTTCAGTGAGCTGTGATTACTTATGAAATGATGCCTGGATGTTCACATTGCGTTTGGTATAAATTCCCGATATATTCACCAAAGTTTTTTTTAATCTTAATAGACTTTTTAAAATTTTTATTTATTTTTTATTTTTTATTTACATTTATTTATTTTTTGAGAGAGAGAGTGAGACAGAGCATGAGTGGGGAGGGTCAGAGAGAGAAGGAGACACAGAATCTGAAGGAGGCTTCAGGCTCTAAGCAAGCATTTAGCACAGAGCCTGACACAGGGCTCGAACCCACTAACGGTGAGAGCCGAGGTCGACGCTTAACCGAGTGAGCCACTCAGGCGCCCCTACCAAAGTTTTTAATAAGTTATGCTTACTGCATATGTATTTCCCTGTTTCTTTGTATGTTCTGATATGTTACTGTTTGAATTTTTCTTCTTCTCAAGAAAGCATGAGGGAAGGAATGCGAACCTGGCAGATTCCTGAGCTAAAGCCATGGAGGCTTTTATGAGGATCACAGTTGTGCACGGGGTGGCCCTGCCTGGGGCAGATCAAGGCCCGGAGGGGTGGAGCTGACCCAGAAATCTGTGGCTCTTTCTTCTGCATCTTGATTTGCTGGTAGAGGCAGGCCTTGAAAACAGAGAAGAGCCCCACTCTCCGTGGATCTGAGGACGGGAACTCCCCTGTGTGTTAGGGGCTTACTTAGGTAGACAGAAGAGAAGGAAGCCCGGAGGTGCCTCTTCCCTGCTTCCAGAAATTCTTACTGAATGTTTTTCAGCCTAAAGTGACAGGCTAAAATCAGGGCATTGCATTTTTTTCCATAGGTTTTTTTTTTTCCTTATTTGACCTAGTTTTTTGTTCAACTATGTATCAATGCTAACTGGCAAGTTATATTTCAGTATGTTAATAAAATAGAAGCAGACCCATTTTGACCTTACTTAATTCTACATGCATTAAAAAAAAAAAAATAACCCAATATCTACATACTCTCACTGTAAAAATTAAACTAACACAAAGTTATATAAAATAAAAAGTCAAAAGCCACATTCATCAACAGCTCCTGACAACAATTACTAATAATTTTCTTTTTGGATGTTTTAAAATGTATTTAGT